AAAGAATTGACAAGATTGAGGCGGGATGTTTACAGTTGGACAATCCAACAGTCGAGATTAATGCCTGTATTAATGAAATAGTGGATCGGTCAGAAAGAAAGTGTAACTTAGTTTTATTTAATCTTCCTGAAGATAAAACACCTAACACAAACTCTAACACCTTGAAAGTAGTTGTCAGCATCAAATTTAAAAAGTTTACTAAATCAACTGATCTTGATGGAATTCGAACATTCAGAATTGGTGCTCGTGCGCAGGTCTCTCAAAAGCCACGCTCAGTGAAAATCGTATGTGCGACGGAGGAGAGGGCACAAGCGATTTTGCGATCGTTCGTGGCTGCTAAAAGAGACTTTTCAAATTCATCGGACTTGGAGAATTTATGGTTGTCGAATGACAAAACGAAGATGCAGAGGGACGAGATTAGAAGAGTGAAGGAGCAGTTAGCCGTGCGTCGACGAGAGGGAGAAGCAAACATTTCTTTGGTTTTTCGTCGTGGAGTCCCCACAATTATTAAAATCCCTCCCCGCAAACGTACTTCTACTCTTGCACTTCAGATAGGCGGGTAAACAGTTGGCCAATCCAACTGCAGTACCTGGTTTTGGTTTAATTCTTCTGTCATCATTCTCTTCAGTGTTTAAATGTATTCAGAAAACTTTTTGTGTGTGTAATTTTTGAGTTAAACTCCTTCAGAGTATTGTGATTTATTTCTCAAAATAACATTTTGTTAAGCAAAAATGTGTATAATACCCTCCTCATTTTTTATGTTCCTATTGAATTTTTAAATATTCTTACATTAAGGAAGATTTCGACTATATCAGCAATTAGTGACATCTATTAGACGTCAATTGAACTCTTTGGTTTAGAGTCAGGTGTTATTCTTAAGATAATTATTCCGATATGGTTGTCGGTAAATAATTATATTTTTGAATTTTAATTTTTGATCTGAAAAAATAAGCTGCGTGAACGACTGCACTGTGCATCTGTGAGGACTCGAACCCCAGTTAATAGCTGCCTTTCGCGGGACTAACGCCTACCAATGCACCATGAATAATTATCTTAAGAATAACACCTGACTCTAAACCAAAGAGTTAAATTGACGTCTAATAGATGTCACTAATTGCTGATATAGTCGAAATCTTCCTTAATTAAAAATTCTTAATCAGCAAATAATTTCCTACATTAACTATACAGCTCTTCGACTAGTGAAAACTGGTCGAAGGTTCGAGTCCTCACAGATGCACAGTGCAGTCGTTCACGCAGCTTATTTTTTCAGATCAAAAATTAAAATTCAAAAATATAATTATTTACCGACAACCATATCGGAATAATTATCTTAAGAATAACACCTGACTCTAAACCAAAGAGTTCAATTGACGTCTAATAGATGTCACTAATTGCCGATATAGTCGAAATCTTCCTTAATTAAAAATTCTTAATCAGCAAATAATTTCCTACATTAAATATTCTTACAGTTTCTAGAATGTTTCTAGAATAATTGTTTAAAATTAATTCGGATAGAGATACACATTTATTATTTATTAATATTATTTAATATTAATAGTAATATTATTAGTAATTTTTACTAATTGTTTAAGATTAATTCGGATAGAGATACAAATTTATCATTTATTAATATTATTTTTATATTCTTCTATTAAACTGTAAAATTCACTAAAATAACTAATTTTCTAATGGACTCAGTGGAGAAACAAAACTATCTAATTATATTACTTTATTTTCATTATTATACTACAACGGTATTTACATCTATACCGAACTTAAACTTTTGAAGCGCCAACCTTCATAATGTATCTGTTTTTATATGTTACAAATGTAACTCTTAGAATTAGGAAGAACGTAATGTACGAAAGGGCATGTCCCGTTATGTTATTACATAAAATAAAAATAAATAAAATAATTTAAATTATTTCACGTTTTGATCAACCGAATAATATAAAATAAAAGTGAGTAAAAATAAGTTAACAATTTTCTTTATTAAACTCATCTTTCTCTTCTCAACTTTTCTCAAATCTTGTCAAATTTCCCAAATCCGAAAAAGTGTGTTCTACGACTGAGAACTACAATTTTCAATACCTTTTTAAAACTATTTTTGAATCCTAAACTTGTAACCTATGTTATCGAAAGCTGTTATCTTACTTTTTTGTGTTTGATGATTTGCTTTCATTCCTTATAAAAATTAATTTCCAAAAAATCCTAAAATTATTTCGAAACAAAATAAAACTCGAAGTGTCCCGAACTATTAAGCGAGAGCTTAGGTTCAAATCACACACATAGTTCTGTTTATTAAATATTAATTTATTTAATAAATTGAAATTAAAACAATTATGTTTAGTCCATAGGACGTAACAAAACTCCTAAGTTCGCAAATGGTGGCAGATTGACTTCCAATTTTTACTATCATCTTTCACGGTGCGCCTGAAATGGGTTTTTATAAAAAGTTCCTGCACTCGAAATTTTCTTGTCAATTTTAAATCTGTGAAGTTTAAAGAGTATTTTAAGACCAAAAAGAAAATAATCGCTAGAGCCCTTTTTGAGAAAATTAACTTTAAATATATTTTTTAATTTTATATTTTTAAATTCTTTAAAAAATCGACTTTGATTCCATAGAAACATATTGCTAAGGTCAGTCTGTAGAGAAAAAGTCTTGAAAGGTACCTAAGAGGCAAACGAAATATAGGTTAGGTTCGAGTTAGATTGATCTTGATGAAAAGTTTATTTTTAATTATTTGAATTTGAAACAAATTTTCATTTAATATTTTTTATTTAATAAAGATTTAAAGATCAATAATTATTAATTAATCATTGATTTTCTATCCGTATTTTTACTCAAAAAATTGGAAAACATAACCTCAAATTTTTTGCTTCAGGTACCTTTCTTCGGAGCGTGACATACATATGTTAAAAATACATATCACAAATTTTGACAAAAACTTCTTTGACCTTATAAAGTTACCTACTAACCAATTTTCGGCATCTTAAAATTACTTGAAAGACCGTAAGAACACAAAATTAATTAATCAAAAACTAACATTAAATTTTCAAGACTTTTTCTCTACAGACTGACCTTAGCAATATGTATAAAAACACTGTTTCTATGGAATCAAAGTCGAGTTTCTAAACAATTTAAAAATATAAAATTAAAACATATATTTAAAGTTAATTTTCTCAAAAAGGGCTCCAGCGATTATTTTCTTTTTGGTCTTAAAATACTCTTTAAACTTCACAGATTCAAAATTGACAAGAAAATTTCGAGTGCAGGAACATTTTATAAAAACCCGTTTAAGGCGCACCGTGCTTTTGGTGTTAAGACGCGAAAATATCATGAATGACGCACTAATTTCAACAAGCAGTACATCAGACAAGATTGCTTGTGCGTACGTTGCGATGTTTTGATAATTTAAAAAACCATTAACAAATTCAAAAAATAACAAACAAACAAAATTTTGTAAATAAAAAAAAATTTGAAAAATAAAAAACTTAAACAAAATATAATAAAATTTAACAAAGGAAGTGCTTAATCTTACCGTAAACCTCTACGTGGTGCACTTTGGGATCGTGAAATATGCATAAAACATTCACCAGCTGATTACGGAAGTTTGAAATCGTTTTTTAAAATTATTTTTAAGATCTTGAGTTATTAAAATCATTTTCCCGATCATCTAAATATCTGGTATTTCAAATATCAAAAATCTGTCCTTAAATTCGTTATTAGTAACCTTAATAACCCTTGAATACGAAGCTTTTTATATTTTCGTATCTTATGTTGGCTAGTTCTAAAAGTATGCCAATTTTTATTTTAATTGGCGTGTAACACTTGCGTAGGTTTACTTGTTAGAAAATAATATTTTCTATTTTTAAATTTTAAATGAAAAAGACGTCTTTTAGACACCTTAAAGACATCTAATGCGGCCAAGACATAGAACATGTATAGAACGTCTTTAAGACGTCCTTACATGTGATGCTTCCTCATTCTTATTATAATAGATGGATAATTAATTTTCTATTAAATAAAATTAAACAAACTTCGCCTAAAACATAAACGCAATATTTTATTTGAAAAATATTTTCTACTTACCGTAAAATCTTGAGATATTGAAACTCTGTATATTACCCTATAAATCATAAATATACACATTCGTTTCTCAGTTTTAAAAGAATTTACAAATTTTTCGAAAAAGTTTTTTTTGGGAAAAACTTTTAGAAGAAATTGGTCTTCTCATTTTTTTAGAATTTTTTCGATTAAAATGGATTAGAACCATTTTTTATTTCAAATTTTGGTAAATGTCGGTAAAGCTTAAAGGGCTGTGAAAAGTCACGAAATTGTAGGACTGGTTTTGGCATAAATAAGACCATAGCTTTTTGAAACTCTGCTTATGTCCAGGTAAAATCAAATTTCGTTAAATACCCTGACATTAGCTGGTGAATTTAACTTTTATAGTTTATTAAATTTTTTTAATTCACGACACTAGAATGTATCACGAGAAGGCTGCCGTAGGATTTTACATATTATTTTTTTTTAATTTTATATATTTTGTCGTCTGCCATATTGTATCAGCCATTTTGAATTTTTAAAAACTGATTTCAGTTTCGTAATCAGCTACTCTGAAAATCCTCGAGTTTTCAGTTTCAAGTCAATCTGATAAATTTTTTATTTTGTCGTCCGCCAAGATGGATCCGCCATTTTGAATTTTGAAAAACTAATGTCAGAATTTTTATAACATCAGATTAAAAATTTATAAAAGAGTATACTTAATATGAAGTAAAATTATATCACAAAAAATAACAACGGAGGACATTAGGTTAGTGAAGAATCAAGATACTTTTAAATGTCCAATTTATTTAAAGCCAAATTAACATTCATAACTTCGTAGAATATTTACTCTTTGTTGTTGTTTTTAAACTAATCAATTTTAGAGCAAATACAAAAAAATTTTCATATAATATAAAAACCATGTAATAAGTAATAAGAAGTGCTTATACTACCAGAAACCACTTCGACTTTTCCATTTGCATTTTTGCGCAATTTTTTAATCACTGATTTTTTAATTAATCTTTACTCATTTTCGTTTTTTTAAAATAACTAAAGCTAACCAGATTGAGTAAATATTACCTAAATGGTATTGTAAATGACATTTAAGACCATACTCTACAGAACCAGGCGATAAATGAATTTTCGTAGCTCTTAATAATTTACATATATCCTTTAAGTTGATGTTTCGGAGTTTTAATATATAACCATGAGTATAATAAGCCCTATAAAGTGGTTTTAATTCATTTTTATCAAATTTCACATATGAGTCGGCATTAATCTTAACAAGAAAATCTTGCAAAATAGTGGATGCATGACGATTGAAAATAGTTGGCACGCCAATTTCTTTTCGAATATGACACAAATTTTCCTTTAGCTGTTGTTCGATTTGCGTTTGTTTTTCTAAAAACTCAATTTCGTGAGTTTTTTGAAGCTCCAAAATTTGAATCGGTCGATCTTCGAAATGAATATTAAAATTGGCAGGACGCCAATCCTTATTTATTTTGTGATTATATTTTAAATCAACTGGTGATATAGTTGTTTGAGTATTTTCCCAAATCTGAAAAAATGCAAAATATTTAAACTGCTTATATTATATTAGTAAATTGTTTAATTCCTTTAATTATTTAAATATTATAATAAATCGAAAACATTCAGACAAAGTTTTTTTATTATTTAATCTTTTTTTCCAACGTTTCAAAATCAAATCAATTTCTTCCTCATAAAGTCTATCAATGAAAAAGATGAAATAATAAAAAACTCTGTCTTAATTTTTTTGTTTCATTTATAGTGTTCGTATTAAGACAACAAAAATGTAAATAGGAATTTTAATCTTACAACTGCTACTAACCAAGTAACAGTAATTACTGAATGATAAATAAACATGCATTGCATCATTGAAAATTCTTTTAGTATTTATATATTTATTTACATACACATATTTCTAACTTAATATAGGAAATGTGTCTAAAACGGCCAGACAGATAAAATGTCAATTCTTAAAATTTTACTTTGAGATCAAAGTGAAGTATAATTATTGTTACTTTAATATTTATCATAAAATATACTATACACACGTTTTTTAAATAGTAAACCCTTAAATTAGTAAATCGAGTGTGATAATCTGTTTCGACTCAAAAGACTAGAAATAACTAGCTTTTGGCTTTAAGGAGAGAACACAATAACGTGAACGCAAACGTGTGACGTCACCCATTTGATTAACATTGTGACGTCATACGTTCACGTACACGTTCGCATTCCCATAGATTGTGTTCTTTTTCGCATCGCTTACGCGATCCTAGCGTGTCGCTCTTGTTCTTAGTTTTTGACACTGTTTTCTTGACCTCCTAGATGGCGATCTTTAAGACTCGGCATCCTCCAGTGTCAGCGACGTGGTTTACGCTTCAGGCCGCAGTATCATGGCAGCGTTTTGCGTTGCGTTGTAATGAGAGAGAATGCAGCAAACGTATATTTGCGTCTTTTTCTCTTCTATTACGACGCAACGCAAAACGCTGCCATGGGACTGCGGCCTGAGCTTCCTCCAAACTTTTTCTTACATAGAAAACAGCTTGGGCTCCTTTTACAATATGCAATTTTATGATCGAGTTCTCCGCACTTGAAGCCAATTTATATGTGCTCCAGTTTCTCCATGTAATCCGCTTCTTCCTGATCAGTGACTACAACAGCAAGTGTTATCCCTCACTTATTTGGCACATTCCTTCAGATCTTAAATAGGCATTTCTTTTACAAAATTTTCTAAGTTGAAACACATTATCTCTTTTCTCTTTCTATATTATAAAAAGATTTCGCCGCCGGATTCAGTGTCCTGAAGTTTATTTATTTAGTATATAAACGGGCTTATATTGCCCTTTCGTACAATGTACTGAACAATGAAAATCTTGCGTTACTAGTTGACAGCATTGTTATTATTTTTGTCGAAAATCTGCTTGCGTAGTTCTCTAACAAACGCGTTAAGCGAAACGACATAAAAATTTACTCTATCATAAAACTGATTTGCCTCACGACTTAACCTATTTACCACTGAATTTTCTAAGTAATTAGTTCTAATCAGTTGTTGAGTAAATAATGGAACTTCAGTTCTGGGAGAATGCTTTGCTGCAAAAAACAAAGTAAACTTAAGAGATCTGAACAATTAAGTAAACCATTAATGACTTTAAATAAAAACAGGAGATCTGCAAAAAGAAATCTCTGAGATATAGTTGGAATATTAAATCTTTCTCTAAGGTCATAATAGTCGTGATCATAGAAGTTGTAAGGCACTCCAGTTTGTTTGGCGAGGAAACGAATAAATTTGCTCTGAATTCTCTCAATATCATCCACCCAATAGTCCTGATAAGGCCTCCACAAAGTAGACGCAAACTCGATGACAGGTCTGACCACAAATGAAGTTGTCCACAAATGGTCAAAAGTAAAAGGTCATCCCTCTGAAGTTGGCCTCAGGTCACAGACGTAGGCCAAGAAGTAAACGTAACCTCAAAATCAGGTCAAATGTCATCGCTCTGAATTTGGCCTCAGATCATAGACGTAGGTCAAGAGGTAAACATAACCTCAAAATCAGGTCAAGGGTCATCGCTCTGAAGTTGGCTTCAGGTCATAGACGTAGGTCAAGGGGTGAAAATAACCTCAAAATCAGGTCAAAAGTTATTGCAGTCACAGACATAGATGCGGAGAGGCGAACATAACCTTAAAATTAGGTCAAAAGAGGGCCAATTAAATCAACAAATTTCCTTATATCTTATGGAGTTATATCAAAATGTAGGTCAAAATTGATCTATTTATTAACATTAAAAGAGGTCTAATGAAAGCCTTCCAAAGGCAACAAAATTTAATAAAAATTCAACCTTTTTTTAACGTAAAGGGGGACCCGTAGTGTATCTTGGAAACAAATTCAATGAAACAAATAATTTCAACAAACACTAATTTCACTGAGGTGGCTAAAAACCAATATTGATAATTTAACTATATTAATTTTAACTACTATATTAATCTTCATACTCATTCTGTCTGTCACAGTATGAGAGAAAAAGCATGATAAAGAGAAAGTAACGCCTATTTCTTTGGTTTACAGAAGAACATAAATGTTTTCTCCATTTTCCGTGTTGGGTAGAAACAGAGGAACAGAAATTGGTAGGGGAAGGAAAAGTGGGGAATTTCACTTTCAAGCCAAAATACGAAAAGGGCGTCTTATTTCCTTATTGGCTAATTATTTTTCTTTTCTCACTCACAGATAGATTAAGGATGGAAAGAAAGGAAGATCGAGAACGAGGTAAGAGTGAGGGGTATAAATTTTATCGGTATTCCATATACTAAATGGACAAATTTTTACCAATTTATGACCTCCCCCCCCCCGCTTCCGGTTGTGGACAATCGTGAACATTTGGCAAACCCTCTCCCCTTTTCACTTGTCCACGTGGACAATGCACATTTGAAAAGTATGTAAGTATTTTTTTAATATTACTCCTGCATTTTAAAAAGTAATAAAGCTCATTTCTGAACATATTTTAAAGCACGAAATTACCCACGTAAAAAAGTTCCCGGGAATTAAAACCGAGAAATTCCCGGGAGTCACTCCCGAGAAATTCTTGGGAATCTCCCGGGAATTTCCCAGGAGTGAAAAAACAAATGAATAAAAAAAATTTTTCTTTTCTTTTTTTTACTCCCGGGAAATTCCCGGGAACATTTTCACCTGGGTACGAAAATGATTAACGATTAAAATAATAAATAAACACTATAATTTAATTAAACTCTTTATTTTTTTAATTATTATATTGTTACATTAACATCATAGTCAGGGAAACAAAGCTTTTTCAGTAAAGTCAGGGAAATGTCAATAAAAAAAATTTTTTCAGGGAAAGTAAGAAAATTGAGACTTTTTTTCGACTTATAAACAAATCTTTCAAATTAATCAAAATTAGCATCTAATTTTTTAAAATGCAGTATTTTCAGTATTTATGATTACATATAACCAAAAATCCAAATACATACGAAAATAATATTTTAGAATTATTTTTAACATTTTGGAGAAAACATTTATATTCAAAATTTTTAATTAAAATTCATCAAATAATTAATTAGCTTATTTAAATTATACAAAAAATCTAATAAGAAATTCAATCCTATTTTCAAAAAATTGCAAAATAAATTTTTTTTAACAACTAATTCGTATAATTATTTTATAATGATTATTTAAGATTTAATTATCTTCGAACAATGTAAATAAAAATTTTTGCATATTTACTTTTTGGACTTATTAAAATTTTTGACAAATTGAGCCTCCCAATTCAAGAACTCGCCCGACGCTCGGATGAACACTCTAACGCCAGTCAAACGTTAAGAAAAGTCACAAAAATTAAAATTTGAAATTTTGATTTTTTAGAAGCACTACCTTGTAGGAAATTGAATAGCGCATCTTTTTTCCTTTGAACTTTTTTCGTAGGATGAATATTGTCGGAAATAATGACGAAAAATGGTAAAATTTTGTTTTTCAAATTTCATTGCTTTTTAAAACATAAATCATCGTATCTTCGACAATTATTGTCGAATTGACTTCAAATTTGGTATGCAAGTCTATTTGGGTTTTGGGAAGACGATAAAATGATCAGAATGTAAAAATTTCCTAATTGTTCACTAATTTGTTAATGTAAATAAAGGCTTGTCAATTTTAGGTTAACTTACCTTCGTCGACAAAAAGTCTGCGGTGAACTTTCGAATTGAAAAAACTTCCAGTGAGACATTTGTTTATTAGTATATAAGGAAGTTTTTTGGAAAATATTAGATTGATTTAGTAAAAAATGTGGAAAATATTAATGTTTAAAGACAGCGCGGAGAGCGCGACATCGAGTCGCGGCGTGCAAATATCACTAAACACCAACTTTATAGGACGTCAGTTGTTGAATTTGTTCTTATTACCTCGGTTATTACTCAGTACTTTAAAAAAAGCATTAAATAAATTATTAGGATATAATTATAACGCTATGTTTAACATTATAACAAACATAAAAATTCTATAAATAATAAAGAACTAGCAACAATTCGCGCGGCTAACTTTTTACTACATTTTATAAATAAAATTAGCAATTTTAAAAATAATAGAATTTGAAAACTTTCTAATTTAAATTTTTGTTGAAAACACTAAAAAAATTCAATTTTGGAGAAATTACAAATAATTGCAGAAATTCAACTATTTTCAAAAAAAAAAATAATAAAATTCTTCTTATAAAATTCAACTATGTACAAAATTTGAAAAAAAATTTTGTAAAATTCCCGATTATCTTTATAAATAACAAAATTCTTTTCCAAAGTTTAATTATTTTCCTAAATGTTATTTATAAAGATAATCGGGATTTTTACAAAATTTTTTTTCAAATTTTGTACATAGTTGAATTTTAAAAGAAGAATTTTATTATTTTTTTTTTTTTTGAAAATAGTTGAATTTCTGCAATTATTTGTAATTTCTCCAAAATTGAATTTTTTTAGTGTTTTCAACAAAAATTTAAATTAGGAAGTTTTCAAATTCTATTATTTTTAAAATTGCTAATTTTATTTATAAAATGTAGTAAAAAGTTAGCCGCGCGAATTGTTGCTAGTTCTTTATTATTTATAGAATTTTTATGTTTGTTATAATGTTAAACATAGCGTTATAATTATATCCCAATAATTTATTTAATGCTTTTTTTAAAGTACTGAGTAATAACCGAGGTAATAAGAACAAATTCAACAACTGACGTCCTATAAAGTTGGTGTTTAGTGATATTTGCACGCCGCGACTCGATGTCGCGCTCTCCGCGCTGTCTTTAAACCTTAATATTTTCCACATTTTTTACTAAATCAATCTAATATTTTCCAAAAAACTTCCTTATATACTAATAAACAAATGTCTCACTGGAAGTTTTTTCAATTCGAAAGTTCACCGCAGACTTTTTGTCGACGAAGGTAAGTTAACCTAAAATTGACAAGCCTTTATTTACATTAACAAATTAGTGAACAATTAGGAAATTTTTACATTCTGATCATTTTATCGTCTTCCCAGAACCCAAATAGACTTGCATACCAAATTTGAAGTCAATTCGACAATAATTGTCGAAGATACGATGATTTATGTTTTAAAAAGCAATGAAATTTGAAAAACAAAATTTTACCATTTTTCGTCATTATTTCCGACAATATTCATCCTACGAAAAAAGTTCAAAGGAAAAAAAGATGCGCTATTCAATTTCCTACAAGGTAGTGCTTCTAAAAAATCAAAATTTCAAATTTTAATTTTTGTGACTTTTCTTAACGTTTGACTGGCGTTAGAGTGTTCATCCGAGCGTCGGGCGAGTTCTTGAATTGGGAGGCTCAATTATGGTCCTGTTAATAATTAAAATTCTCAAAAAATTTGATCATTTTTATTAATATTTTTTACTAATTTTATTATTTTTAAAAGATTTTTACAAATTTTAATTGTTTTTGAAGATAATTGAATCTTAAATAATCATTATAAAACAATTACACTAATTACTTTTTAAAAATATTTTAATGTAATTTTTCGAAAATAATTGAATTATTTAAAAGAGTTTTTGTATAATTTAAAAAAACTAATAATTTTTTGAGGAATTTCAATTAAAAATCCTTAATACAAATATTTGTTTCAAAATGTAACAAAATACTTAAAATAAATTAATTATTTTTCAATTAAATTTTACAAAATTTCAACTATTCAAAAAGATTTTTATTATACACGGAGAGAAATCTGTTGCGAATAATGCATAGAGTAGAGGTTATGAATATAGCATAAGCACTTACTAGCGAAAAGTATAAGAGGTCCGCCTGAATATCAGTCGACTCCGCCTAATATTCAGGCGGACTCGAGCCATAAATAGGCTCTCTGTTAAGATTTTAACTTCAAAGAATCTATGGAAAAAGTATATGAAAAGTTTCAAGCATTAATCCTAACAGATTTCTCTCCGTGTAGATATATTTCAAAAATTGAATTATGTCTTAAAAAATGATTCAAAAACAATTTTTGAATGATTTGTTTATAGTTACTTTTCGCACTATCAAAATCAAAATAACTTGCACGTTTTTACTAAAAATTGTGGTTTTTATGTATTGTCTCAATTTTCTTAGTTTCTATGAAAAAAATTTTTTCCTGACATTTCCCTGACTATGGTGTTAATACAATATTATAACAATTATAAAAAATAAAGATTTTAATGAAATTATAGTAAAAAAAGAAAATTCTTATCAAATTTTATTTTATTAAGTGTGCTCTTTTCAATTCCAGTGTGAAAAAAAGAATTTCGTTCAACCCAAAAATTAAATATAGCGGTTATAATTTCAAAAACACAAAAAAATTTCATTTTTTTTAGTTTGATAATTTTTTTACCCTTTATCCCCTTCCCAGTGTATGACGTCTATGCAGGCAAAAATAATTCGTGCCACCAATGTAAATGACCGCTATAGTGGCATCTAAAAGGAAAATCTTGGTAATAAATAAAATATGAATATCAATGAATATTCTAAAGTTTTGGATCGCTTAAAATACTAATTCGGGGGATTATGAGGTTTCTAAATCCAAATCTTTAGTCAAAGTTTAAAAATTCAAAATAGCGGTTCCAAAATGGCCAACGAAAAAAATTTTAAATTAGTAAACTTTAAAATTTGTCGATCGCCATTTTGAAGACGCCATTTTGAATTTTTAAATTTTGATTATGCTGATTACGGATTCGATTTTAGTTTCTAATAAGTCAAAATGGCGGATCCAATATAGAACAAAATTTTTACTTTATGCAATTGATCCTAATTTTGTCACTCGGTGGTTTTTAAGGTCGCTGATTATGAATACGATGTTTGTTTTCAAAATTTCAAAGTGGCTAATATAATATGGGGAAGAGAAATTTAAAAACATTTCTATCCACGCTCGCTGGTTGTGAGTCGGCGCAAGTGCTAAAACAGAAGTCAATTGTCAGTGAGCGCTCCTAGGACATTTACACTTACCTGACTGGTATTAGAACTCCCAAATAACAAAATTAAGGTCAATTGCGTTTAAAAAGAAAATTCCGCCATTTTAACTTTATGAAAACTTACATCAAATTCGTAATCAGCGACCCTAGAAACCACCGAGTGTAAAAATTAAGGTCAATTGCATAAAGTAAAAATTTTTGTTCTATCAAAGATTGGTGAAAAATTGTCCTCGTGGTTTATGGACGGCCCCTTAGCTTATACCGCGGCTTATATCATGACTATCAATAAATCTCGGTGTCAATCTTTTGACAAAGAAGAAAGAATACTTCAATAAAATAATTCTTCCAATGTGTAATGAATTTATATAAAGTTTTTCTATCGCTTTACTAAACTAAAACTGAAAATTTAAGGAGATAATTATAAAAATAAAAAAATATTATATTCATGTCGTAAAACTGCTCAGTATGTTAAATTTAATTTTTGGTTTTCGTGTTTTATGTTTTTTAAAAATTCTTCAAAAAAATTTGTAATCTTTTTATAATATTTCCGAAGAAGAAAAAAACATCTTAAAGTCTTAGTCACATTTTTATATACACACAATAAAATAAGGTCTTAAGTATCATAAGACAAAAGCAGAAATATCGCGCGCGCGTAGCTCTGCAAGTAACTATTATTACTTACTTCTTAGGCTTGAAGCCTTCCCAGCTGAAAAATCTTGTACAAGATCGTGTACACTATGTTGCACAAGACCATGTACAGGAACATTGACCCGAACCTACACAAGATTAGCAAGTGAACTGTTAAAATAAATTGGAACAAAGAACATGAACAAGAACGTGTACAAGAACATGCGTGTACATTCTTGAGTGGCTTTTGAGTTCGAGAACATCTAGGCGAACATGCACATGTTCATGCACAAGTTCGTGTGTGTATAACTTTGACTGGTTCTTGTTCATGTGCATGATCATTCAAATACTTTAAAGGCTGCGCAGTAGTTTTCTAAGTGTTTTACAGCTGCGCAGCAGTTTTTTGCAACTTCAGTCAGAGACTTCTTTTGATTATCACTAAAAATTTTCTTTACATTTTCTTAAATTTTAAACCTAAAAACCACAGTTTTTTAATACACACACGAACATGTGCATGAACAGGTGCATGTTCGCCTAGATGTTCTCGCACTCAAAAGCCACTCAAGAATGTACACGTTCTTGTTCATGTTCTTTGTTCCAATTTCTTGTACAAGTTCACTTGCTGATCTTGTGTAGGTTCGGGTCAATGTTCCTGTACATGATCTTGTGCAAGATCGTGTACACGATCTTGTACAAGATTTTTCAGCTGGGTTTAAGCACCTCAACCATATATAAACCTCTATAAAATTTACGATCTTACATTTTAATAGAATGCATTTAATTTAGAAAAATTCCAATAACTTTTATATTCATCAGTTTCTAAGTACAAGTTGAGCTTATAAAAAAATATTTTCTATTTATGAAAATTTCTCTATTATTAAAGTTTAAATAAAAGGACGTCGTATAGACATCTAATGGCCAAGATATTCAAAATTTTATGACGTCTTTCTCTTAAAGATGAATTTTGTAATAGTCTAAAAGACGTCTGTAAAAAAACATCCTTAGGACGTCTTTTGAACAAGTAAAGTGTGCCCACTGACTAGATGTTCTTCCCATAACCATAGAATTTATTTATGAATATTGCAAATAATAAGCCAACCTATAATAATATTAATTAAAAAAACAATTAAATATAAAAAATAAGACATATTAAGTTCATTTTTTAACTTTAATTCAAGAAATTTTTACTTTAAAGATATTCTTATTTGAAATTATACTTTAAAGTTTTTAAGTTACAATTATGCAATAAATTGATTTCATGAACGATGTTGGAACTAGAAAAACATTTTTAAAATAGCTGTCAGATCTTATATATGCTTCATCTGAAATGGAATATTATCATAATCAAGACAGTTATCGGAATATTATAAAAAATTAGCCGGAATATTGAATGCTTATACTTTCATTTTCCTCAACGAAACTGAACATTTATTCATAAATAAAATGATAGGAAGTAAACTAGAAGCACACAAGTGAGACATAAACAAACCATTACAATAAAAAACCATCGCCAGAGTATGCGCATCACCTTAAGGTACTCGCACACCTCAACTGCCTGCCTGCGTAGGGAGTAGATCGTTCACACCTCACTTTTCCCGTTAAAAAAATGGGGAAGGATTTGAATTTTAATAGATATTCAAATCTTCCCCCATTTTTTCTACGGGGGAAAAGTGAGGCGTGAACGATCTACTGCCTGCGCAGGCAGGCAGGCAGTGGAGGTGTGCGAGTACCTTTTTAATGAGAAGTGCTAATTTTGCCGGAATATTTAAATCGAGAACAAACCAAGGGAGCGACAATGATTAATATTTAAGACTTTAGACACATTTTCCCTATTAGCGTTACAAGTATCGAATGTTTTGTAGTCCTTAAAATTATAAAATTTTTAAAAATTATGGATATATATCTTCATCTTACATACATTTTCATGGTTTATTAGGCGAAAACATTTCATCAGTAAGTTACCGCTTTCCCCAACTTCAAAAGAGCTCCCACTCTCAGGGTCCCAGATAGTAGTTTCATTAGTGTCTTCATTAAGAGTTAAAGTAAAAGCTGCCCATTTTCTTATTTGAGATGAACCTAGTTAAAATAAATTAAAAAATTATTATTCAATCATTTTGAATTCTTTCCTGCAAAACAACGTTAAAAGCTTAAAATTATTTATTATGCTATGTATGTAACCATGTTTATTGGCATAGTGTTTTTATCAATTCTATTAAAACAATTATTTAGATTATTTATTTGGATTTACTGTCATGTTTCGCAATCTGCCTCGCGTATTATAGAAAAGAGTGTCAATCATTGATATTAGTTTAAAAGTTGAACAGTCTCAAATTTTTGAAGAATAAATGAAAAAACTTTTTCTCCCACGTGCACAAACATGGCGCTTTAAGACAGCTGACGGCTGGGAGTAAATTCATTCATTTGTCCGACTGTATGAAAATGGCCTCCATTTTCTCCCTATGGCGAAAACAACAGCTGATTATATACTTTATTTTCAGTTCATAGGAGAAAAACAACACTATGTTTTTACAAGTCAAATATGATAATGTATTTTACTCTCTGTTGTCTGCTATCTGAAATCGTCACTTTTATGTATTAGAAAAGCCTTAAAACCCTCGAGTAACGAGTTTCAAGCAAATCCGTTTGATTTTTAATTTTTTCTTCCACCATATTGGATCAGCCATTTTGAATAATTAAAAACTGAAATCAGATTCGTAATTAGCGAACCCATAAACCTACAAGTAACAAATTTTAGCAAAATTAATGTCTTTGAGATAAAGAATATACAAAACAGTGAGTTTTTTTGATTACTGCAAAATCGATAATAAAATAATTTAAAATTTTTCTTTTACTCTAGGACCAATTGCATTTTGTTTCTATGACACTGCAATTATTAGTGAAGTCAAAAAAATAATTTTTTCAAACTTTTAGAGAAGTGTTACCCCTGAAGGACTAATATTCTGAAGTTCTTTTTATCTGCTTTAAAAATCTATCCTTTTCTATGATATTGACTTAATTCTTATCAATTTCATATGTAAATATTGTATTTCATGGAACTTTAGAAATATTTTTTACCTAAAAGAACATATGCTTTTTCTCCTAGACCTTGTAGTAATGATGTTAACAACGCTGCTCGACCATAATAATCAACTTTTCCTAAATTTAAAGATTGTCTTGGTGTAACAAGTCCACGGTGAACTGATAATGGCGATAAGAGCATTGTTAGTTGTGCTGCTTCTTTGGAACTATTTATTTCAGATATTTTATGGGGCACTGCAAGGCAGCTCTGGATTTTGGTGGATAATTTATCTATACTCCTTAAATCTACATCATCATCAACGTTCATGTTTTCCATTTTCATTAACATGGAAATCCTTGTAGATGAGTGTCCTGGACTGGCCTAAACAAAAAATATGCATTGTCAGACAATTTGAAGAAAATTTATCAGATGACTTTACTAATTGTTTCCCACTGTAGCGTTCACACTAATCTTTTTATTATATAATATTAAGATTTTTTTACATTTATAAAGAGTAAACGTTTGTGAATCCGTATACTAATCTATTAAGAACTGGATGTACAAAATTTTGACATAATGATTCAGGACATACTTCAATATTTAAACGATACAAGAAATGTTACAAACCAAAAATAAATTTTATTTTTTTATGGGCTTTTGAGTTGGCCCTTTATTTTTTGGATTGGGGAGGCACCAAGCTGCCAGGGTCTGAGGGACCCTGTTTGAATTGTGGGGTCGTTTATCCAATTTTAGAAGTTAGACACTGCTTCGATAGGCGATTATTTGTTTTTAGTTGAAATAGGTGTGAAAAGTAAGTATAAATGAGACAGAGTTTAGTTGAGAAAGTTTATTAAAGATAATAATAATTCATTAGAACGATACAATATTTTACTTACAACTACCGGCGGTAGTGATGATGACATATAGCTGCCGTCGGGCAGAAACAATTCCGTCGTTACACACACAACTCTTAATTGTTCGTTTTACCGTCGTTAAATTTAAATTTGAGCACTGTTCTCTTTATAAAAATTTATTTTTATAATTGACATGCCAAATTCAAATTTAATAGCTCTCTTAAATTTCGTCAGCACTACTAATAATGCATTTTCAGAATTTACTTTAGATGAGCTTAGCGGGCCGTTGATTTCGAACGGCGCAGGTGCCACACGCACGGGCTGGCCGGTTACGGGAACAAATTGGTTGAATGCAGTTAAACTCTAATCACCCAATTTTTCGAAAGCAATTCTCGCGGGACTCCGTCGGTTAGAAGAATTTAATTTATATTTTTCGTCCGCCTTTCGCGTTGTACTTTAAAAGTTTTACGCGGGGGTCCGACTCGCGGACGGGCTAAGTCGCGGCGTTCTTGTTTCTCGCAACACTTGCCAAGCTAAGGCCAGGAGAAGTGTTGCTCGAGAGAAGCAAGAAGTAGTACTGCCATGATTAAAAGATTTTGACTAGCCTCTAGTCCTTGTTTTAACTTCAGAGTGGGACAATTTTGCAGACGAGGAAATTTTAATTTTCAGGAGTAGGAAGGAATTCGCGGCCCATTGGACATTGCAATTCTGCTGATCTTGTTAATTCTCACGGTAGCTCCGTGAGAACGGAAAAGAATAAATTTGATCTTTTTCTGGAATAATAATTCCATTATTAATCAATTGTTATTCTTAACCTTTGCTAATAAACTATATCCATACCACCATAACCAAATAGAAGGGTGATTTATTCTAGCATGGTGACCGATGTTTTTTTTTTTTTTTTTTAATATTTCTCAATTTGTTTAAATATTTTTGGAGAAATGTTTATTATTTTTTTTTTACAAAATTGTCCCCTCTTCTTTACGGGTGCAATTATTTAGCTTATGGCCCTATGGTAGTGATCGGCCATCAGTCAAACGCACGTGCGTTTGTTATGATTCAGCAATTCAACTTGTAGGCCGAGGGGAAAGAGAAGGTTCCGTGGAGTAAGAAACATGGAGTAGAGGCAGGTAGTAGTGTTCGTGTGAGTCTGTAACGGAGGGAGACCCGCGAGAGTGTTGGTGCCCATAGCGCACAGTCTCGCAATGGTGTGAGTTCTTAAGGCCGTGAAGGTATTGGTACCTTCGTCCCGCAAACACCAACCCGCGTGCGTCATCGTCCACACATATGCGCGGCCACTCGATACGCTTTTACTGGAATTATAATTTTTCGTAATGCTGTCGAAAAGAGAGAGAAAGAAAAGAAACCCTTCCGCCTTACCCTTGCAACAATGTTGTTTATTGCCATTTTGGCTTCGCAACATTGCTGCATCATTACTTTATTATTTGTATTATTTATTTATTATTTTTTTTTATTTAATACTATTTTGGTTCATAGGTTTTATTTAAATAATTCTGGTGACAAAATTAAATTAATATATTATTTTATTTCTGCTCTTTCGTGAGCTTGATCGAAAAATATTTTAGCTGACAGAGTCGGCCTTATCAGGGTGTCGGGTGTCCAGCATCAAGGCCTTACTACGTGGTAGCAAGCCCCGATGCTGGAATAATTTTGAAAATAATAATTAAACAGTGTTGCCAGATCTGGTTGGAAAGTATATTACAATCCACCGCGAAAATTCCATAATTTTGTCCCCAAAATTCAGCATTTCTAATGTAGGTACAATACACATGTTCCTTTCCTTCTCTAATGGCTGAATTTATTTCAAAGAACAATGCTCAAATTTTAATCGAGAGAATTGATTATTTCATACAATTAACTTATTTAACTAGCAAAGTTCCCATTGGAACTTGAAATTTTTTAGCCTACTAATTTTTTTTTGAAAGATCAGTCACCCGAAAATAACCAGGGTAGATTATCAATAGTGGCACTTCGAGAGGTTCGTTGTTTTTCATTAAGAACTAGATTTATTACAGTACTAAATTTCATAATTTTATATTTAGTGAATTATATTGTTTCGATTGATTTTTTTTTAAGCATATTCCAACTATATTTGTTAATTTAAGAAATAAAATTGAAGAAAAGAAAAAAAAAACCCTTTAACCAGTAGTGGCCTTACAAACATCCTTTGTGGCCACCGCTTAAAACTGTTATGGTACTATTAAGTGAACAATATTTTTAATAAATAATTGGGGTTTATTAATCAATTCGGCACAGCAATTAAGAAAATTTATCAATGAACAAATTCAGCATTTCTATGTAGGTGCAATACATGTTTTACTCTTTGTCTTACGTATGCAGATTTCTATTTCAGATTAAGGGAGGGATTGTTCCTTCTTTGTAATGACGCAATTAATTTCAATGAAAAGTGCTCGAATTTTAATTTTAATCCAAATTAATTTATTTAAATAACAAAATTCCCACGGGAGACCAATTATTTTAGCATATCATTTTCAAGGATCAATTGTAAGAATAAAATTTTAATATAATTTTACTGATAATAACACTTTCCTGGGAAACAAATAGAATATCTTGGTGAGGTTCTAGTGCTGAATTCAATTATCTTCATAGACAACAGAGCCAATTGAAGAATTCGATTTTCAATTAGTCCAAAATATTGCATCTCCCTTGGAAAATTTACAACAATATTCCCTCTCTTTTTTTTAACATCTAAAATTATTCCTCTCAATACAATTTCACAGGAATTGCTAGAAAATGGTATAATTATTCATGACATTTATCTCAACTCTGTTACTGAAGATTAAGAAAACTTTCTCCCCTTTTTTTGTTGTTCCTTTAATCGTTAGGTTAAATTGCGGAAATTGTTACGAGAGAAAGAGAAAATTTTCTTTTAACACTTGTCTTATCGGTACACATATAGTGACAATCATAATATTTATAATCGTCGTTATTGCTATTTTAAGACATATTTATTTATTAGTCTCCTCCTATCAACATTTTCACTGCCAGGGTTCCACGCGACCCACCACACTTATACCCAGATGAACACGGAAACAACTGTTAAACTTTTTTTTTTTAGAATTTCTTGCAGGCGTACTTATACGTTTTTTCTTTTATTTTAATTTAGAAAATTTTATTTGTTAGAAAGTTTCTAGTGAAACTCTCCAACAAACAATTGTTTTCAGCTGGATTTCGCAAAATTTTCATAGCGATTTATAAAAAATTTAATTTGGAAAGAAAAGAAAACTTCCAATTAAACATAGTTACTGCGAAATCTCAGTCTCGAGTACTTAAATTTTGTTAACTTTTAGTTATGCAATCAGTGAATTACGACTGAAAATTCTGATCAGTCAAACTTCACTGATTCGAGTTTAGAGAGTGTCAAGAAAGTGCCAAAGGGAACTCCCTTGGTAAAATTCGGTAAAATTCGCCATGATAAATATAATTTTAGCAGGGAATTATTATCGTGTTTTCTCATTTTTCCTGACTTTTCCAAGTTTTGGACATTGTAGCAACCTTGTATATTAATTAGGCATATGTGGTTAGAAAGAACAGTAGGCATTCGTTTTTCTATAGGGAAATTGGAGGTAATGCGGCGTTGCCGAGTGTGTGGGTGATTCATTATGTGGACCAATGCATTACTCATTAACGTTACCATTGTGCTTCCGCGGTCTAATCTCATACACCAGTCCGTACGCGCCGGTTGACCTAATCGTTGGTGCTTGCGAGTGGTTTAGTGAAATTCATCTCCCTTTCTCAAGTGTGGTGACAGTGTTTAACATGGATAAGCTTAAAGAAGAGTTAACTGAATCCCGAAATTTCATAATGGAGCGTTATGGGGACAACCCCGCAAGAATCGAAAAAATTGAAAAGAAACAGGTGGTTCGAGATTTGGAGGAGGAAGCTGAGGAGTCGTTTGATGAGAGCATTGACACAAAGGAGGATAAGGACCTTCGCGCTGCCCGGATTTTCGCTTTAATTCCGGGGGAGAAGTACAGGAGATTGCGCGCATTTTGCTTCAAGCGAATTTACGGGTGGCTTCCGGAGACCGATCATGAGGCTCCAGACACCGAACACTCTTCGGAGGTGAATATAGGAGTTAAAACATCACCGGATGCGAAAACCGATATTTTAAGGACACGACAACGCCTACTACTTCACGAACATCATGTCACTTCGGAAGTAGCCCTGGAGAGAGCCGAGTGCAAGGATAGGGGCCCTACGCTCCTGTCTAATATCCATCTTTTCCGGATTAAGTCCTGCTTGGAGGCCAAGGTGGTGCTGATGAAGCTGGCCTCTACTCGGGGGTAAGTAAAAACATCGTCTCACAATTTCTATTTACGTTACTTCCCTCTGTTTTATTTTTCTATCTATATTTTCAAGATATTTTTCCTTTTGTATTAACGAGATTCAATTATTCCGAATTATTGAGTACCGTGATTATTATGCACAGGATGTGGCAGTCCATTTTTATTACTATTATCCTGCAATTTATAAGACATTTTAAAATTTTTTTTTTATTAACCCTTCAAGGATTGTTTGCTTTAATAAGATTTAAAAATCTAGTTTCCCTCCGGCAGTTTCTATTGTATGATTACTACTTCTTTAATCAACTTCAAATTATTGAATTACATTTTTCTTTAGATTTTAAAATTATTATTATTATTTTTTTGTAAAATTTTCTTTTAATTATTGAGTATCAGCAAATACTTAATTTCAAAAAAATTTTTTTTTAGATAAACAAATAATAAAAATGTATGTAGTTAAAATTTCCTTACTTTCTATTACAATAATTTACTCGTAAGAAAATATTTCCTTAAAACTGTCGAAAACAATTGAATTGCTTCGAAAATTTTTTTTTTCAAAATTAAAGAATTAATTGCATTTTTTTTTTTGACGAATTTGATCAAAATCGTATTAAGCATACTTTATTTCAGCAATGAGTTTCATTGTTTATGAAAGCAATTGAATTATTGCGAGGACTCCATAAAATTTTAAATCATTGATTAAAGAAATCTAGATAAACTCTATCTTAATAATTCAATTCCTAGGAAATTTTCATCCTTCTAGCAAATAATTGGGTGTTCATGTATAATTTGTCAAAACTGTTTTTAAGTAATTGAATTCTATTTGGAAATTTTATTAAAATAGTAGGCACGCAATTATTGAATAAAAATTTCCTTTTCCTCTTTTTTTTGTTTAATTGAGTACTTGTTATTTATAGAGATAATTGAACTTTTACAATGAATTTTATTAAAATTCCTGAAAGTAATTAGTTTTGTCCAAGTTTCCTATTTATGAAATAATTGGATGTATTGCAACAAAAAATTTTTTTTTGAATAAAATTATAATTACACGTGATTGACTTCCCTGCTTTTCGACAAATTTAAAGAATTGAATTCCTTTAAATTTATAATTGTGAATCAGACAAGATTTTCTTTTCTTAACATAAAAAATTCTTTGCTTGATTCAACCATTCTTCAAACTCTCCATTAAGACCACAAAACTATCTTCAAAAACCTTAAAGAGACTCCTCAAAACAATTCCTCCATTCACAAAATTCTAAAAAAAAAATCTTTTTTTTTGCATTTGGCTTAAAAACGGAAAATAGTAGCCTTTAGTAGGAGAGTGTGAAGCCTGTTCAATGTAAATAAAATGGTTAGACACTATCCGTAGCCAATTTTCTAGAATAAATACAATCCTTTTTACAATAAAATTTAAAATAAACAATCAAATTGAATTTATGGGCCGAACTCAAATCTATTATTTTTACAATTTTGTTTATTATTTTTTTTTTAATTTACGAATAAACATGGCTTTAATAAAAATACAAAATAAAATGAAAGTAACTATTTTTATTAAGGTTGTCAATCTCGTATTTGTAAGAATAGTCTCCCCTTATCTTCACTAGCACCTCCGACGGTAGCGAGGCTTTATATGTCATTGTCCAATTCCATTATTTATGATGTCTTAAAATTCCCCTTTTTTTTAATTCTAATAACATCTTTTCCTTAAATCACTACTGATCACTATACCCTTATTATATATGTATTTTAATTAAAAACTGTATTGTACTCAATTCCTTGATAATTTTGACAGGATCACATTTCTCAGGTATCGACAATCTTGAGTAATCGATTAAACTCTTCTTAATTGTACAGTTAAATTAATTGCCAAATTAAATTAGGGTAGATGTACCGTTCTTGGCTACGCCACACTCTTTTATTAATCTTAATAATATTCTGATATATTTACTGTATATAATTTTTTTTTTTGATAAAACTTTATTTCACAATTAATATTCTTCACAAATCTGTTGAAGTTTTGAATAATTGCACTTATTATTTCTGAAAATAAATAGTTTGAAGGAGGTGTTGACAAGCTGTCAGTTTCTAAAAATAACTGTCAGACAGCGCGTAAAATATAGTTGCTAATGTCGTTTTTTTTTAAGGTAATAACAATAATATAAATTTCTGCGTTATTAATAAGAGTTGTTTAAATTATTCAGTACATATGAAATGATTTGTTTAAACCTTTTATTTAATAGTAGCTAGAGTGGCCAAAGCTGGTGCATCCACCCCATTTACAATTAAGTTCGGAAACAATTAATCAGACAAAGAATAATTTTGGCCCCCCCTTCTAAAGCAGACAATCCTGTTTACTTATTGAGAATTCCACTGAAATTCGTTAATTCCTTTAATTTATTTACGTATTTTATTTAAATTATTGACTGATCGTTTTATTATCAAGAAAATTATTAATAAATTTCCTCCTTTTTTTTTAGATCAGTCATGATTATACTAGGTACAGCGGCTTCGTTATTTGTTGTCCAAAGCGTTAATTTGATTCAATCTTTTAGATTCTGCGTAAAGTACGGGCCCTGGATGACTGCCCCCAACCGAGATGATGAGGAGGCTGTGTGGACACATAATGCTCAATTAGTCAGGGAAAATGGCCCAAAACAGTACTCGCGTACCAGATGGTATCAAGAGTACTCGTGGGACGAAGCTCGGCAGTTGTATTTATGCCGCGGATTCTGGGCGACGGTAGGGTTTCCTTTATATCTTTGATCCTATTTAAAGAAGCTTTGTTTACAACAGGAAAAACCTCTTTTCAACAATTATATTACATGGTTGCCACGCTTTTGCTCAATTCAAATTCCCTGATTTTTCCAGGTTAAAACGGAATTTTTTTTTTTTGGTTTTTTTTTTTACTACATTTATATTTTACAAAATCTTTAATTCAAACCCTTTTGAAATTAAACATGCTATAAAACATGAAGACATCGATCACTCCGGGTCTTCATGCTCCACAACAATTAAATGTTGGACTGATAAAATCATCATTTTATACCTATTATAAGAATATTGTTACTCTAACTTATTCAAATTACTTTCATTATTTTAATTCAATTACACAAGAAAAAAACAAAATTTGAAACCATTTACATTTTAAACCAAAATTATTGAAAAATAGCCTATTTCTAAGCTGAAAACTAGATCGAGTAAATTTTATGACTTAAAGTAACACTCTTAAGGCTAAAAGTTAGTTAAAATGTTTTTAATGTAAACGGTTTCAGTTAAAGAGACTAAAAGTAAGATTTATTTTTTTTACAGTGTATTGTTTTCCACAAATTTTAGCTAAAATTCTTCCCCATAAAGTGTAAATTAAATATTATTAATAATTTCTGAAAAATTTCTTTCAACAGTTTCAAATCCTTTTGTTTACAATTCAATTTTACGAAATTCCATCGATTATTCTTTAATCAAATATATATTAGAAAGTAAAAATTTCAAATAACTTAAAAAAATTCAACTATTCAAAATCACAATTTGGAACCTTTTCAAAACCCAATTATTATCTAGAGTCTTAACTGAAATTCATATTTGAATCAATTATTATTATTAGAAAATTCTACGACAATTCAACCATTTAAATACAAATAAAATTTTAATGAAGAATTCAATGTTTTTTCCTTAATTCAACTCTCTTTTAAAGAATTTTATCAACAAATCTTTAAATAGGTAATTAAAACTCTTTTAACGAATTTCAATAAAATTTCTTTTTTTTTACTAAAATTCTCTTCTTTTTTTTTGAGAAATTTGATTAAAAATGCATTAAAATAATTGAATCTCCGCAATAAAAGTTTTTGAAAATAATTGAAATTTGCCAAGACTTTCATTAAAACTCTTGAAAACAATTGAACTTCTAGAGAAAAAATTTTAATATTCATAAAAATAATTGAATTATTGCGAAGAAAATTATAAAGGAAACTTTTTTAAAATTGAATTAAGAAAATTGTGTTGAAATATAAAATAAAGAAAAATTAGCTTTCAAGAATAAGCACAATGACTTTAGAAAACAATAATTTTCCAGGATTCCAATCAAAATTCCTTGACATTTCCAGGTTTCCAGGTTGCGTGGCAACCCTGTATTAAATTTTGCAAAAACTGTTGCAAAGAAGATTCTTCCCTTCCTTTAACAGAATTGACTTGTCGCTGAATGTTTTATTAACCGAAATGCTATTTCTAGAGAGATTATATTTTCCCATCGGAAGTCCCGGTCTCGCAAGGGAATCTGAAAATCCTGCAGGGGAAATGGCGGATGGATGGGCGCCACATGACCCGGTAATGACTCTTATATATATGGTTTTGTTTTTTTTTTTTTTTTGAAGGAACGCTAGCTTGATGAGTTCATGTTTGGCTTTGGTTTTTGCAGGTCGCTCCGTGCCTTGCCGTCAGCTCCACCGTTCGCTGGGCTCCAACCCTTCCACAGGGTCTTCAGGCTCAGTTTCCTGCAGGCCTTCTATAGGACCCGGGAGGGGGACCCAAAGGGGAGCTGTCGCTGGGTGTTGGTAAGCAACAATGTGGACCCTGCTTGTTTAGTGGCAATTAAACCTGGGTTTCGACTGACTCCTATTTCCTTACTTGCAGACGTTCAATGTGCCCGCAGAAAAGGATTGGAGGGAAGTCGGACCAAATGGACTTCTTAGGGAGGAGGAGGACACAGCTAAGGGGGACTAACCATTGACCCGCTTAGTGTTTACTATTTCTATATTTTCTATCAAAACTGCGTATAAGTACATCTGCAAGTGCAATTATCCGTGTAATATTTTTCTTTAATTATGATTAATATGATAAACGGCATGGAACCCATGCAATGTGTTCTGTCAGAGAGAACCACCTCATATAAAACTGTAATATACGGAAATTCACAATAGCCTTGTTTTGAGAATCACTTTCTAATCCTACACTGCCCTTATAGCCGCGGTAGTGAACGGTTGCTATGCATGATCTATGCCGTGTAATATTTGACACGGTTGGTTCAGAGAACTCGCGGAGTGATTGCTTAAATTTGAAATATTAAGGTGGGTTGCAAATTACATAGCTGACTCTTCCAACTTATAGAACGATTATTTCCAGTTTTTATTTTAAATAAGATTTTAAAATAATTTTTTTTTTAATTTAGAGAGCAGTATGATTACCCACACAATAAACAGAAGCGAGAGAGAAGGAGAAGAGGAAAAAAAATAAGAAAAAATTTTTTTTTTAAGTTCATATGAAATATGACCAGCACAGTGGAAAATCGCCAACGGCCAGGCGCTGACCCAACACTCCCATAGCTCATGAGCGGGCGTTTGTGTATTATAATACACAAACGCTCGCTTCCGTTGACTACATGGTAGGAGGGAAGTTTGGCGATTTTGAGGGCGGCCCAAACGGCTGCATAGTCGGTAAGACCGTGTAAGCCTCCCTCACGAAAATTCTTCTTAGCTTTCTTTAAAGCAGAGATTAAGCTGGACACGTCCCGACGGTGCTGATGTCGTTGGCGGCCCTCCACTTGTGCAATGACTCCATTCTCGTGGACCAATTAATTCTTAAATTCTATTTCAAGTGTGCGTATGCTAATTCTTTATAAAGTAATACATTATGTGAGTGCTGACAGTGTAGTGAGAACCGTCGATGACCAGGCACTGACCCAACACTCCCATAGCTCATGAGCGGGCGTTTGTGTATTATAATACACAAACGCTCGCTACCATTGACTACATGGTAGGAAGGAAGTTTGGCGATTTTGAGGGCGGCCCAAACGGCTGCATAGTCGGTAAGACCGTGTAAGCCTCCCTCACGAAAATTCTTCTTAGTTTTCTTTAAAAAAAAAAACAGAGATTAAGCCGAACACATCCTGACGGTGCCGACATCATCGACTTCCTCACTTCACAATTATTAAAATTATCCTCAAATTTGTTCACTTAATCGGCTAATTGCTAACACTAAAATTTCTCTTGTTTTTTATGAGGTTAAAACCCTTAGTTGTTAAAGCTACTTAATTAATTATTTGATATTGACTATTATATTAATAAGAATCTACTTATCTTGAACAATTATGGGAGCTATCGTGATTCTCATTGTCAGTTGTGATTCGGACGACGCTAAACTTCTCTGGTGATCTTCGTAGTTGTCCTCTGGGATGTCGTTCTTTTGGTGGTAGAAACATCCGGTGATGGTCGAGGATTTTTTTTTCTTCTTGTCGTTATCTTCGGTCGGGGCATGAAAGGTCCATGATTCCGATCCTTCAATCAGTCATCTGATCTTCCGTTGCTGAGATTCTTCAAATGTTGCGAGCTTTTTCTCCCTTAGGTTGGTCGATATGCCGGAGGTCGATGCCTTTTCTATCCTCATAGTTGTCTCTCCTTGCTTTGTCGGGGGCGGGGCGATCTCTTTGTACACTGGCTCTTCCTTCTCCTGCTGGCGAACGGGGGGGCTTGGTTTTTCTAGTGTTGAAACTGGTAGTTCAAAACTCTCACTCTTTGTCCTGACGAGCCACATTCGGCTAAATTTAGCTATTCCAGATTGGCATGGAACGCGGCAAATGTACAGCATGAGAATCATGGACAGTAGGACCAGTCCTCCGTATGATCCATATACCAAGGTCCGGTGTTCTCCTCCGAGGTGATGCTGGAGAGATAATTCCTGCAGCTGCTGTTCCAGATCATCTAGTGTCCTGGAGTTGGCCTCGAAGGTGGAGAGTTCGGGTTCCTTCCCAGAACGGGGGTTGGCAGCAAATGTTATTCCTTTTAGCAGGTGACCGTATCTTGCCAATAATGGCGATAGCGTGGTTAAATTTAAGTGTAGTTCTGATTCCAAGATAAACTCAGATTCCCCGGCCTGGGCGGTCGTGGCTGGGATGATAGTGTCCTTGGCTTTTAGGGAGCATCCGGGTCCCAGTTTGATGATTCCGGCATTTCTTAACTCAATTTTCACTGGACTAAGGGAGTGGCAAACAATCGTTGCAGTTTCCGGAGCTGCGAAGGAGTAGATCCAGCCGCCAATAGAATTCAGTGGTTTCCAGTAAGATTCTTGTTTGCTGGTAATTCTCACTTCACAAAACCTTAGGGCTTCCGTAGTTGGTTTAATTAAGAGTGAAGCCTCACAGGATACTCGTTGTTGAAAATCGTAGATGGGGGCACCTTGAAGGCATGCATGGAATGATGTCGTTGACTTACATTGGTCCCAGTCTTGCTCCTTCAGCGGGAGGTATGTTCGTTGATCCTCGTCTATTATCAAATAATCATATTTTGAGTTTACATATGCTCTTCCAGTACCATTTTCGAGCAATTCTTGGGTGGTGGGGAGTGAGTGAAGCTTGAAGGCCTGGTAGTTATATTTTTCCAAGAGGGGAATATCGATGAGAACGTTAAGCTGTTGGTTTTCACAATGGATTGTGACCGTGGAGATATGCATTAGTTCGTCGACGCTGATCCTTGGTCCTGTTAGAGGAAATTTCACGTCCTTGAGGTTGTCTTGAACTTCTCTGAGAATTGGTTCTAGCTGGGCGGAGGTGATGAGCCCAGGATGCAACTGTCCCTTCCTGGCCTCATGAACTGCTTCCAACATGGTAGAGGTGGCCTGAATACTGTGATCGAGTCCTAGTCTCAGGGCCCTGGCTATGGCGAAGGTCAGGTTTCTTCTCTCCATTTCAGCCTTCATCTTGACGAGGTTCTGGGCAGCCAGCGTTTGGAGTTGTTCCTGTAGATGCTGCAGCAGGGAGCCGTGTCGTTGTACCTGAGCGTGTAATGAATCAAGCTGTGATCTAACTATATGAGTCTGTTTTCCGACGAGATGCGATAAGTTAGCTTGAGCTTCGTTCAAGGTTCGAATGGCTGCGTCGTATCTTTCTCCGTCATTATATGTCATCACGCCGATAATTGGTCCTGCGATTTTCCCTAGGAAGCCAAGTAGGGGAACAGCCCGCCTCGCGCGTAGCTGCGAGGCCATCCTTCTAGGTGAGGTTCTTCTCGTATTCTCTAGTTCTTCAATTTGGACTCGGAACTGCTCTTGGAGTTCGGAGGCCATTTCCCATCTGTCCTCCCATTGGTAGGATTCCATTAAGTCCAAACACCATTCTTCTCCAGGTCCACACTGCGCTGACAGCTTCCTCAGACGCTGCTTCAGATCATCGAAAAATCGGCACTGCTTTCCAACATCGAGAAATACGACAATTCTCCAATTGCTGACCGATCTCCTGACTTCTCCGATGTACTCGAAATACATCCCGCTACTGGATTGGAAAGGGGTGATCTGGTACTGGTCGCCTCCTTGGGGCGCCTCTGGTCGGCTTAGGGCTCCTTGTCGGGTCTGTGTCGTTGTAATCGAGAGGAGACATAGCAAAGTTATAACGGCAACCCTCATCATCATGGATTCGTTGACCTTCTGCATTCCTAAAACATTATTAAGATTAGTAATGGGAATCATATGTGAGCAACCATGACTTTGTCCCTATGTTTCGCGAATCTTGTGCCATTTTCATTTTCCAAGATCACATTGTTATTCTCGGTGAATCCTACAACAGTAAAAGGTCCATCGGCTCGCTTGTCGAACTTGTTCTTTCGAACCTCTTTATAAACATAAACCCGACTCCCTACTTCCGCATTTAGAGGTTTAGTTTTCCTATCATACACTTGTTTTGATCTTTCCTTCGATCGCGCCAAATATTTAGCTGCAAGGTTTTGCAGTTCGTTCATTCGAGTGATTAGGTCTTTTAGATAGGAGCCATACGTCTCGACTTCCGGGCCTTGGGGTAATGAGCTGGGTGCTCTTGCCAGGTGCCCGAACACGAGCTCATATGGTGTGAAGTTCGTAGCTTCATGAACTGAGGTATTATAATTAAACATGGCAAACGGAAGCAGGCGATCCCAATCGTCGAAATCCTTTGCATAATGTTTAATATAATCCGTTAACTCAATATGACTTTGCTCAAGTGCACCATTGGTCTGTGGTCGATATCCGGAAGTGGTAAGTTGCTTGACGCCAAAGATTTTTTCTAATTTACGCATCAATGAACTTACGAAACTGGCTCCCCTATCGGTTAGCACGCATCGTGGTGCTCCAAATACAGAGAAAAGATTTGTTGCCATCGCATGAGCAATCGTTTTGGTCTCGATATTTGGGATCGGAACTGCAATGCAATATTTAGAGAAATTATCTTGCATTGTAAGGATATGCCGATTTCCGTTCGGGGTTGTTTGTAGTTTTCCAACCGTGTCCAACGACACCTTGTCAAAAGGCATCGCTGGAGTGTCGGTGATCAACATCGGTTCCCTAGTTCGTGCCCTTACTAATTTGTTCTCGAAGCAACTCTTACATCCGCGTATGTATTGTGTAACTTCGTCGCGCATTCGCGGCCAGTAGTATCGTTCCCGAATTCTACGGTACGTTTTGGAAATTCCTTTATGTCCACCGATTAGACTGGAATGGAACTCGGCAATGATGTCATTGCGCAAATTTACAGGAGGAACTTCTATTTTTCCGTGGCAGAGGGTGATAGTAATGTCGCCACCGCGGAAAATTTCTGTAACGAGTTCAGCCATTTTTCCTTGGGGAATTGCACCTAGCAAATCTCCAGTATTCGCTATTCTACAAGAATTTTGACCACCTGTTTCTAAAATTTTCCTTAAATTTGTAAGTCCCCTAATCACATCATCCCAACTAATTTCGTCGAAATGGTACCTCTTTACTACAATCGAATAAACTCGATATTTTCCGTTACGGGTAATATAAATTTGTCCTTTCACGGGTTTGCTATCCCTAATCTCTCGGAGGTCAATCTTTTCCGTCGCAATTAGAAGTTTGGCGATTGGACTAGTAGGTTCGCAATCTTCAGAAATGAAATGTGCGTAATTGTCACGTCTGTAGGTCAAAGGTTCGGTCCACTGATTTTGGATAAATTCAAAAGGCTTATTATTTTGTGACGAGGGTTCTTGGGGTACACAATCACTATCATTTTCACTTCTGATTTCACTGTCATCATCACTTCCTGATTGGGAAAGGGGAGGATCAATATAGGGTTCTTTAATGTCTAAAAGTGAGTTGCCCGATAGTACATTATTCGATCGCTCCTTATCGGTTATTTCCTGAATTCGTCTTGGTTTCGAGTTTGCTTTTCTATTGATTAAAGCTTCTTTAGAGGTGTCGAAGTTACTTTTAAATCGAGTGAAGGGGGTTGATTGTGCAAAAGGGGCTGTTAGAGTTCCTGAAAGTGATAGGTTTGATGTTTTTGATTGTTCATCCTTCGCAGCTTCGAAGACTTCTGGCATTTCCTTGAATCTAACGATGCTCTTTCTTTTGGGTCCTGGCGGGCAGGTGGTCAATGGAGTTTCTTGGGAATAGGCAGGGGTGTCAGCGGCTGGTCGATATTCGAGAGGATCGTCGGATTTTCTTCCGGGTTGATCCTTAGCTCGGCTCTGGTTGTATTTATCCAGAAATTCCTTTACTCTTCTTGAAAGTCCATCGTCATATTCATCAACAGGATCCTGGGTTCTCAAGTAGTCCAAATGCTCTTGATCATCCTCACCATCTGAAACACACTGTCTTCTGGAAGCGTGGTCCAATCCTTCATAATCCCAGAATAGGGTGTTGTTCGTGAGATTAGAGACACCTGCTCCTGCGCCTGTGAAGGAGTTGAATTTGTTAATGGATTCATTCACTCCCTGGATAAGATGTTGAGTTTCGGTTATAGGATCATCCTTGGGTTGGTCCTCCTGATCACTTGATTCACTGCTGCTGTTGCTGATCCTTCGTTGCCCTTCGATGATTACTTGGTCGGGAGGTAGTTCTTCTGATTCTGACTCAGAAGATGATGATGAATCAGGTTCGGGATCCTTTAATGTTCCTTCTCTTGCCAGTTGATCAGCATTTTCGTTTCCAGGAATTCCTTCATGACCGGGGACGTGTTTCCAGACTACATCCAAAGGTTTCAGAGTCTTGATCAACTTCTCGTAAACCCTTCGATTCTTTACAGGTTTGTTTTCAGTAGTCTTCCAGTCATTCTGCTGCCATCTGGGTACCCACTCTTGGACGCTCTGCACTAGGTATTTGGAATCAGTGTTGATCCTTAATTTTCGAATTCCTGCTTTTATTGCTTGTTTAGCAGCAATAGTTGCTGCTTCAATTTCTGAGGCGTTGTTAGTTTGCTTGCCTCTATATCGTTGCGAGACGTTGAGAGGGTGATTTTTACCAAACCAAACGCCGACTCCGGCTCTCGGGCTGGATCCGCCATTTTCGCAACATGCTCCATCAACGTAGACGTCTGTATATGCGTCCAGGGTTTTGTCTTTGGAAGTGGAGGGTTGAGAAAGGGGAAGGTGAGGTGGAAGGTTGGGAAAGGCACTGTAGGCTTTCCGGAAAACAGGGGGATCAGAATCTTCTTCTGACAACTCCTCAATTTCCTTTTCTGGTTCTTCCTCCGAAGTTGCTTCAGTAGCAGACGATAGTGTAGAGTTGGTGTCGTCGGGGTCTACAGAAATGGCACCCTTGCGCGGGCGCAGGCAGTTGGCGATGCAGCTCTCGTCTGCCGTGTTTATTTTTATTTTTTTAGTGGGACGGAAGGTTTCGTCGCCTGTAGGTTTCGCTGAATTCGTGCTGCCTACTGGTCTTCCTCTGCCCCTGGGCTCAGATTTGGGTTTCGGTTCGGCCTTACGTGACTGCTTTTTGAGATTTATTTTAGGTGGGTCAAATCTGACCTCCAGGTTGCTGGGTCTCTTTAAAATAGTTATTTGCCGTTGCTGTCCTTGACTCGTGGATGGTTGTCCAAGATATCCTCCCTTCGCTGCTGGTTTCTTGGTGAGGGTGGGGTCAATAACCTTTTGTTTTGTTCCGGCTTTTGCAGGAATTCCTGATTTTGATCCTTTAGATTTTAACCCTTCCTTTAGGCTTCCGGTTCGCTCTAATGATTGGGTAGGCCTTTGAAGTAACCTTTTCTTGTCTTTTGGATCGTTAGGATTCACTCGCGCACTTTCTTGTTCTTTACTAGTGGAGGAACGATTAATGGGTAAAGCTCGATAGGCTTTAGGGCTAGGGCTCACATCGTTTAATTGTTTCGACACTTTCGATGTGGCGCCTAGGTTATCCGGATCAGAGGAGGGTAAATCCGACCAGTTGGAATCCGAACCAGCTTTGGGCTCACCTGAATGATCAACAGGATTGTTGGATAGTGCTTCAACAATTCTATTGATTTTTCCAGGTTTGCATTCAAACTTATATTGATAATTCTGCATACGAATCCTCCATCTTTGGATTCGGGCTCCAGGATTCTCAATATAGGTCATCCAGTGAACTGGTTCAAAATCGCAAGCCAAAATAAAATCTCGTCCATAGAGATAGGGTCGGAAATGTTCCATGGCGTATAAAATGCCGAGACACTCCTTTTCTGCCTTCGGGTATTTTTGTTCGTTGGCGTTCAAAATTTTGGAATAGTACGCGACAGGCAAATCGATGTTGTCCTTTTCTTGAGTTAAAATTGCGCCTACCGCATACTCGGAGGCATCACAAGTTAGTTTAAAAGTCGCGTTAAAGTCTGGATATTGGAGGACCGGTTCCTTACACAAATATCGTCTTAATCGAGAAAAACTATCTCTTTGTGGTTTTTCCCATTTCCACGCGGTGTCCTTTTTTAGCAATTCTGTGAGAGGCTTTGCATGTTTTGCGTAGTCTTTTATAAATCGCCTGTAATATCCCGAAAGGCCAAGAAAACTTTTAATGTCTCTTGGTGTTTTTGGTGGGGGAAAGTTTTTAATCGCGATTATTTTGTTTGGGTTTGGTTTTACCCCTTCTTCACTAATAATATGTCCCAGGTATGCTACTTCAGTCTTTAGGAATTCGCACTTGTCGGGTTGGAGTTTCAAGTTCGCTTCTCTTAGTCTATTGAATAGCCGTCGAGCCCTCCTATCGTGTTCTTCCAAGGTAACTGAATAGACAATAATATCGTCCAAGTACACGAATGCTTCAGAATCTTGCATCGTGTTTAGGACACTATTGAGCAACCTTTGGAAAGTAGGGGGTGCGTTTTTTATTCCCATGGGCATTCGCTTATATTCGAAATGTCCGTTTCGCGAGGAGAAAGCAGTTTTATGCCTGTCCTCGGGGTGAGTTTCCACCTGGTGGAAACCGCTCGCTAAATCGAACACGGTAAAGTACCGTGCACTTCCGAGTCGGTCAAATACTTAATTTATACTCGGAAGCGGAAAAGCGTCACCTATAATACTGTCGTTTAGAGCCCTATAGTCTACTACGACTCGCCATTTCTTTTCGCCCGATGCATCCATTTTTTTCGGTACTATTAAAAGGGGTGCATTATAAGGGGAGTTAGAATGCCCGATGATACCGCTATCGAATTGTTTCTTTAACTGAACGTCAATTTGATCTAATGCTTCGAACGGGGACCTATACTGTTTTTTGTGTATGACTTTATTGTCTATGGTCGGGATTCTATGTTGTACCAGGTTAGTGCAGGTTAGCATTTCCCCATTTAGGTGAAATATATCTGCGTAGTCCTCTGCCCACTTAGAAACGATCGTCAGGAGCTAGGTGGTTCAAAAACAGTGCATTTTTTACCTTTATAACTCTATCTGCATAAGTCGGGCACTGTCCGGGGTCAGGAGTGTCATTCTCTGAATCCGTTGGTTCCTCTCCCGGGAATTTACAGAAATCGAAGGGAATTAGTTCTTGGGGGGGGATGCGTACATTAATATCTTCCTCGGTGGTATTTATTACCATTGCGTGACAGACGCCATTGTTATTTGTGACAATGGCTTCACCTAGGTAGAGTCCAGTGGGAGTCTCTATTCGGGGAAGATATCCCTGCTTAAGGTCAGAGGTTATGACATCAATGGCCACAGGAGTTCGTGTTCGAGATTGAATACGCAGAATTCGCGTGAAAGGTTTAATTTCAGACCTCAGGGCTTTCCTGGCTTCCAGTGATTCCTTATCAATAAAGGGGATAGGGGTCACTGGGTTAGACACTGTTACCAAGGTATTGTGCCTAAAGGAAATTTGCGCCTGTTCTTTCCGTAAGTATGGTCTTCCGAGTATCCCATGTGTGGAAATAGGAAAGCTATCTCGAACCACATGAAATTCCACAGGGTTGCTGGAAATAGTTAAGCTAACCGTTCCCAGTGTTGTTACCACGTGATTTGTTATCCCGGAAATCTCAATGCACTTGTCCTTGACAAGTGTGAGTTCAGGGTTCAAAACACATAGTTTAACCAGATTCGAATCTGACCCTGGGTCTACAAGGAATTGAACCTTGTCATGCTTGAATTCTGGGGCCTGTAGTAGAACTACTGGGGAGTCCTGGGCCGCTGCTCCTGTTGTAGAGAACCGACAGTGTTCTCGGCGAACTGTACATTCCTCGGACGCTGGGGGGTCGGGCTCGCTGTCGCGTCTTGACGACGAGCCGATTGGTAGTTTAAATTTCCCGGGGGCGCGGGAGAGTTGGCTCTTGGCGGAGTTGTGCTAGCACGATAGCCCTGATTTTGTCTGGAGTATTGGCCGGAGTTTTGGTTGGGTTGTTGGATTGGTTGTTGGAATGATTGTTGGATTGGTTGTTGGAATGAAGGATTAGGGTAATAAGTGGAGCTGTGAGGTGGGGGATTCATCGGGTGGGGGTTAGGGTAGGAAAATTGTGGCAGGTATTGGGGCATCATTGACCTGTAGAACTGACCCAATTGCTCAGGAGTGAGATGGAGTACGTCTGAGGATCTGTGGTGTGAAGAGGAGGAAGCATGGGACGCAGGTTCCCGTCCTGGATCAGGTCTTCTTTTTCCCCCTGAGTTATGTTGTTCCAATTGTTTAGAGTATGGACTGGGGGGGCGGGGTCTTTCTTCTATCTTATTAATGTGATATGAAGTGGAACGTGGTCTTTCCGAATAATTTTCACGTTCCTCCGCATGGAGCGCATACTCCAAAGCCTCCTCCATGTTGTGAGGATTACGGGCATCCACGAATTTTGATATTTCGGTAGGTAATCCCTTGACAAAAGCATCGAGCGCGCAATCTCTAATCGGTTGGAGGATAATATCGCATTCTCTCCGCCTAATGTCCCTTTCATCATTTGTTATTTCCCGGAACAATTTATTATATTTTGGTTTCAGGGCATGTCTAGCCCCATTAATTAAGTCTTGGAGTCTGTCATGGTAGTCATGCGCAATTTCGGTTTGTTTTTGTTTAATTGTCACTATATGTTCGAAATACCACTGGTATTTCTTTGTCTGCGCAAATCTTTTTTTAAATGCTCGAACAGCTCGGCTAGTGAGTTAAACTCCCTATGCTCACAGCTAGCATAAGCCTGGCCATCTAACCTACTAAGGACTGCCCGGATATATTCGGGTTCCGCTACGTCGGTGATAAAAATTCCGGCTCGTTTTACTGCCTGCACGAAATCTCGCAGGGGGGGAGTTTTTCCGTCAAATATTGGTATGTCACATGCGCTTGTGCGTAACGTAAGTCGGTCAATGGCCGAACTTGCGTCCGCACCCGCGGGGTTCATAGTTCCGTTTAGGACGGCATTTCCAGGTGGACCTCCACCCGGACGTTGTTCGTTGTTCCTATCCTGTATATCGCCAGGATTAGAATCACTGTGTTGAGACATGGTGTGTGCTGTTAATGTTGAGTAAAGAGATAGACAGAGAGAATTGTGTAGAATTAGAAATAAAATTAGTTCTAAAGGAGGAAAATGTTACTTGAGACTGTGGGCGTCGCCACCGCGGAAAATTCCTGCAGCTTGGTGCAAGGTTGGCTGCGTTCAAGTTTATATACTTGTTCCCCTTCTCTAATTCTGTTCTCGATCCTGCATAGCCCTCTTTATGAGTAAAGCTGTGATTTTTGCTTCGAGTTCCTTTGGAACTTCTGGGTGTTTGTCATTAAGGGCTCGGAACTTTATGCATAACCTACAATTTTCACCTTTAGTTATTCTTTCGATAGGTGCTGAGTACGGGGATGAATTCGATTGAGACAGGGGCATAATTTCCTTTTTTTAGGAACATTATAGTTTTAGGTCCGTTAATAACTTTTCCACTTTGCTCAAGGATTCGGTAAGCGAAATAGATTGTCTTGTTCTTGTGTAATTAAGACGTGTATAAGGTTAATTTTTTCTTCCAGACATTCTATTTCCAATTGGAGGTGGAGATTGGTTCTCGCTAAATTCGCGCTTTCTCGGGAGTAGAATATTAATAGGGTCCTAATCTTCCGAATGTTTTCTTCGGAATTGTTAAAAAGGGATATTTTTCCACTCGGGTGTCATTACCTTTTCTTACTCGATTTTTAATTCGTCTAATTTTTTGGTCAAAAATCCATAGCATATTTTAGCTGACGTGCCCGTTTTTTCGACACTTGAAACTAACAGGGATTGTGTGAAAGTAGCTTGTGAAAGAGTGGCCAGGGAGGTGTTGAGAAAATATGCTTGTTTCTCCAGATCAGCTGATCGTTTCACCAGCTCTGAATTCTGTTTCATAAGACATTCGTATCTTTCCCCAATTAAATCTATTCCTTCTGCTAATTCCGACCACTGGTCCTGGGAAAACCCAGTAACTATGGTGCTTCTGCGAGGGAACATGAATTATCTTGGAGGAAGGTTGACTTTGACAGTTTCTATTCTTTGGATTTTAAGCTTATTTCTTGGGATTATAGAAACAATGTGAGCGGATGTTATGAACACGAGAGGGATCGATTTTAATTCCGACTGACTTAACAATTCGGGATCCGATATGGGAAATTTAGGACTATATTCTACAAGGTAGTAAAAATCAGACATTTACTCGGCTTAGTCCAAACGTTGGTTTGCATAGGGGTGATTTCGTCTTCGTTCCCGGATTCTGTTTCGAATGTTTTCCCTCATTTCATCAGTAATGGGAATCACTCCGGGAGGTGGGGGAATAAATTCTGGTTGCCTTGGGAGTAGATAAATTGGGGGGGGGAACAATGTCTGGTATTTGCTTTTGATAACACATTCGATAGGGTTAATTAATAATCATTACATCACTATCGTATTCTAAAGTGGTGTCTGAGTCGTCGTCAGGTTGCGTTATATTTTGTCGCAGTGCGGGGACTACTCTAATATGATTTTCTTGGGCGTATGCAATGTGTCGTTGTGCTGGTGCTACTTCGACATCCAAATCGATTTCAATAACGGGGATTCGTGGCTGTACTAGAATTGGTTGGACGGGTTCTGGTTGTCTGACAGTGGGTGCAAACCTTACAAGTAGGTCTTAATTTTATCACGGGCTTGGTGAGCGGTAATAAATTTCTGATTCTGGTGCCCTATTTGTTCTTTGTTCGGTCAAGATATGTCGTTTTCCCGGCGCGTTTTCCCCTTTTTGATTTTCCTGGGTTAGATGACATTTCAAAGTGACATTTTAAGTGATACTTTAAAGTGACATTTCAACCCCAAAACAAAAGAGATCCTGACGGTGTCAATTTACAGATTCAGCACGGGAGCTCTCCTAGGCGGGACGATCAGTTATCACAACGGCGCTTCCTAGTATAAGGGAAAGAAGAAAATAAATTTCCTTCTTTCCGAATTCCGTAGAATTCTCTAGGATTCGACCAGAAGTTCTCCAATCATGCGGCCTTGTACCCACAACCAGCGATTCTGTTTTGCTAGTCGTTGGGACTAATTTCTATTAATCCCAACAAATACGCATTTAAAACACTATCATGTATTTTCCTTTCCCCTTGAAATATTAAATGTCAGGAATTTTTTAACGAGTTAATTAGAGGATAGCCAAATCGATGCAACTCACTCGCCCAAGTATTGCGGGGGCTACTGGCTAGGTGTGGGAGTAGAAAGAATCTACGACCTGGAAACACACCGTTTGGTTTGCGACTTGGAGATATACGAATCCAAGAATATCGACATAGATATTATTGATATAATCTGCACTTGGATGACCTAGGATAGGGGAGTGTAATTTTAGAGCACTTTCCGCAAACGTAGTTATGTTTATAACAAAAATCTATAGAGACGGTAACTATTTCGCCTTGTAGAATTTCCGAAATAGCAAAGGTACTACCAAGCGATAGGAATTTCCGGGAATAGTCATTGAGAGAGAAGAAAAAAAAAACTAATCAATCTTTTAATTCCCGTTCTTCCAAAGCCACCCTTACACGCCTTTCGATTTCACGACGTTTATTGTTTTTATTAATTAATTTCGGCCTCAGCTTTATTAAAAGGTGTTCAAAATAATTGGAAAATTCTTTCCAATCATTTAAGGGTTTCCTTTTGTTCCTTTTTAATGGGTGCAGAAGGCTTCTTAAAAAATTTCCTGTGGAGTACTAATCTCCGCCTTAATTTTCTCTTCCCGTTCTGGAATTCGAACTCTTTTGGGTCTGTCCTTTCTTCGATTTCTTTTCCTCTTTGTCGGAAATTACCAGGCATTGTCGTTCATTGTTGAAATTAAGTTAAGGCAATTTCCCTGAAGTAACAATTAAAATTTCCGTCCTTTAAACAAGGCTATGCAAAAGAATTACCTGTGAAATTTCGGAGCCATGTCATCCAGTGAGCGAATCACGGAGACTTGTCTTCACGGACTAATCACAGAAAATTAAATTCAATTAATTATATTAATAGAATATTCTGCACAGTTTTGTTAACTGACGGGAGTTCACGCCACATTCAAGGTCTATATGCTATTAGTCGGAATTAGTACTAATCATAGTAGTGAAGTTTCGGAGACATGTCATCCAGTGACGCGAATCACGGAGACTTGTCACCACGGACTATTCAAAACCAATAAAACGTAAATAAATTATCGTATTTTATTTTTTTTTTTTTACTATTCCTCCAATAGCAAAATTTTTTTTATTTAAAGAGGCAACCAACAACAGTGACCAAAGTAGAAAGGGCAGACAGAACCTCAAAAACCAGAACACCCGAAAATTTGGCTATTAGAATCGAAAACAGTAGAACAGAAAAGAAATAGTCCAAAAATCATCATGGAAAAATTAACTATAGTTACCCGTGAGGGGTAGGAACACCAGCGACTAACCAGTGCTCGCAAAAGTTTTGTGATAATAAAATAAATTGGTGAAAAGAAAATAAATTGGTGGCCACTGGTAACAAGGTTACCAGGCAACGAAGCAGGGCGGTAACGCGTGGATAGATCCCACCGCTGGCCACCATCAGCTTGTTACAACCAAAAATAAATTTTATTTATTTTATGGGCTTTTGAGTTGGCCCTTTATTTTTTGGATTGGGGAGGCACCAAGCTGCCAGGGTCTGAGGGACCCTGTTTGAATTGTGGGGTCGTTTATCCAATTTTAGAAGTTAGACACTGCTTCGATAGGCGATTATTTGTTTTTAGTTGAAATAGGTGTGAAAAGTAAGTATAAATGAGACAGAGTTTAGTTGAGAAAGTTATTAAAGATAATAATAATTCATTAGAACGATACAATATTTTACTTACAACTACCGGCGGTAGTGATTGATGACATATAGCTGCCGTCGGGCAGAAACAATTCCGTCGTTACACACACAACTCTTAATTGTTCGTTTTACCGTCGTTAAATTTAAATTTGAGCACTGTTCTCTTTATAAAAATTTATTTTTATAATTGACATGCCAAATTCAAATTTAATAGCTCTCTTAAATTTCGGTCAGCACTACTAATAATGCATTTTCAGAATTTACTTTAGATGAGCTTAGCGGGCCGTTGATTTCGAACGGCGCAGGTGCCACACGCACGGGGCTGGCCGGTTACGGGAACAAATTGGTTGAATGCAGTTAAACTCTAATCACCCAATTTTTCGAAAGCAATTCTCGCGGGACTCCGTCGGTTAGAAGAATTTAATTTATATTTTTCGTCCGCCTTTCGCGTTGTACTTTAAAAGTTTTACGCGGGGGTCCGACTCGCGGACGGGCTAAGTCGCGGCGTTCTTGTTTCC